CATTTGTTGGTGCCTGATGTTCTAACAACAAATTCTATATTCTAGTTGCAATTTTCAATTAAATCAAATGTTTTGACTCATTTAAAAGTATAAAAATAATTCATCATTGATCATATCATAATTTGAAGTGGATGCTGTATGCAGGAAGTCTGCCACAACCTCATTTATTCTCTCAACAAAGCGAAAAAGTTTCACTGACTACCAGATTGGGTCAATGGATAGTCATGGATTAGGTGCTGGCTGACTTACACTTGAACCCTGGCACTTTATTTACACTAAGTTCCTGTTTGAGGATTTAAGTGTGTATGCCATGCAGATCATCCATGGCAAAAAAGATTTAGATGAAAGGTAATGGCACACAGTAATGGAGCAAATCCAGGAAAAGACCAGCAAATTTAATGTCAAGTCTTTAATAAAAGCTGCAGTTCAAAAACATTAAGTAATAATGTCCTTGAGTCATTTTATTAAATTTGAGCACACAAATGTGTCCTTCTACCTCCCACACAAATGGAAACAGTTCATCCTTGGCATGTCATTCTTCACAAAAGAGACATTAAAATTAACTATCAGGAAGTTTGCTTTTAAAGAGAATGCAAATCTGAAGAACTGATGTACGCTGGAATTAATTTATAATGAACTTAACATTAAAGAGTAGCAAATCACCTATTTGCTTCTATTATGAAAAGGGGGATTCTTAATTACAAATAAAATCACAAAATGAAGTGAGACAAAAATATTTTCAGCATTATTTCATTCACTGGAAAAGTGGCATTTAAAAAAATATTTAGTTCAGATAAGATCCTTAATCTTTCAGAAATCAAAGGTTATCAGCTGTTGCTAAACAAACATCCTTGTACCATGTAAACTGAGATGTCCTTGTCTACCCAGTGCTTCCTGGTTAGGAGTCATCCTGCTGCATGTACACGTTCCTTCAGAATACAGTGAAGGTTCTGGAACATTCAGATAAGGATTCTAATTTTGCGAGCCAGTGCACTTTGTGCCGACCACTAATGGCTAATGGAGTAAATAATTATAAAGCTACTCTGTGATAAATCTGATTATTTTCTTTCTTTCTTTCTCTCTCTCTCTCTCTCTCTCACTGCACTGAACCAAGGGCTGAGGCAGTATAGGTCTGTTTCATTATAATTAAACAAACTCCAGCTTATTGCTAATCCATAAGTCAGTCCATCATCACCAGGAGTGAAAAATATATATGAGGATCATTTCTAGAATGTTCAAAACAGAAATACTGTACTAAAAACAACCGATCAACTACATGTCTTGTATGTTTTTGCTCAATCAGTAATCATCTGCATGAAGTTCACCTTAGTAGAGCTTTTTATGGGTTTTCCAGCTCTTTGTTTGAATATTATTAGAATTATTAGAATCTGGTGAACATTGGTATGACGATTAGCAGTGTCGTCTCACAACAAGAAGGTCCTGGGCTTGACTCCAGGCTGGGGCCTTTTATATTATCTTCCTGTGTATATATATTCTTTCTGTGCCTTCTGGGTTTTCTTCAGGTACTCCACAATCCAAAAGCATGCACAGGGTTAGGTTAACTGGTGATTCCTAACTTACCATGGCTGTAAGTGTGAATAGTTGTCTCTTTGTGTTAGCTCTGCAATAGATTGAAAAGCAGTCTAGAGTGTACGACACTTCTTGTCTTATGACAGCTGAGATAGGCTTGAACCTCAGCTGCCCCCTGACCCTGAATTGAATAAGATGAAGAAAATAGATTGATGGCTGGATACTGTTGCCATGGTTTTGGCAGGTCTGTTTGGTTTCTTTCATAGGTATATCTATGTTCTACTTTTTCAGGTCTACTCAAGTGGAGTTGGTGAGCAGCCTCAGTTCGTGGTCTCCGCCAGGAGGTGGACTTTCCTGGTAGATTCTCCTCGTCTCCTGGCAGTTGGTGTCACAGTCCCTCACCAGATGATCACCATCTCTGTGTTTGTCACCTGAAAACACTTGTGAAATCTTGGCTATTTGAAAGAACACTTATCTTCTCTTGGTAGTCCACCTTTGGAAGTCAACAACCAGCCAGTGTCTCCATAGCAGCTAGGACCTCTACCTGCTTCACCTCACTCAGCACTCTTCACCTGCCTGAATTCTGGAACTCGCCTGCTGGCTCAACACCCGTTCCTCACTTTATTTCTCTGAAGTACACGACTGAATCTGACCTTTACAACCTGTTATTATTACCTTATCCTGTTTGGAAACCTCCCCTTTTCACTCTCTTCTCTGGCAAAGTCTCCATGATTTTCTCTGAGTTGTGACTCACTCGTCCCAATATTACATTTGCTGAATACTCACCACACTCCCCATTAAAACTAAGCAAACAATAAACCCGTTGTCTGTCTGTCTTTTTGAGTCCAAACTGCACTGTGTCATGACATCTGTTTAAATATTTAATGTTTTGTATTTGGTTCATTTTTACTGTTTCACTGCTGAAAACCGAGTGCCCCCTTAACTCATCGTATAGAAAGCCACCAGATGTCTGAATATGAAGTCCTAACTGCTTGCATATTGTGTGCAGAATGCAATGTGCAAGTCTGATACCTCCCCTGATAATGCCCATTAATATTAATACTTAGATAATTTAGAGATTAATAAAGTATTCTGTTTCTCATAAACTAAAAATTCCTATAATTAAATACATACATAAAAAAATACATGTATTAAAAAGATATACTTGGTTACTGTACTACAAGTAGATTTTTCAGGTATCTGCACAACCTTTTACATTTGCACTCTACATTTTCAAAGAGATATCTGTACTTTCTTCTCCATAAATTTTCAGAACAGACTCCTTACTTTTCTTTGAGGAGAGATATTATTTCACGTCACTGTCCACATATACATGGGTGACTTTCCTGAGTTTGTTTTGAAAAATATCTCCATTCAAATAAAAAAAATAAAACTACCTGGCGGTTAAATGAAATGAAGATATGTTTGCCATTGAAATGTTGAAAACGATAACGCAGAACTAACTCTGATGTCAGCAAAGTTGATCAAGACACACACCTTTTGATGCTGCAAGATAAAATCTCAGTTTTCCCAGAAGTTTACATGAGTTCTTGAAAATCTTCAAGAAGCTAGGTTTTCATTACGTTCACGTGTAGACAAAACAACAAAATGCATAGAAAAAGCTACACTTTCAAAATACCCATGTACGTGTGGACATAGTCTTCTTTAGTTATTTCCTGATTTACTCTGAAGGTTTTCTTCCGTGTCTTGGTTCTACTTTCTATCTCCCTGATTGCTCCAATTGTTTTCACTTGTGTTTCGTTACCCTCTTTTAGGTCATTCCCTAAGCAGCTCTTTGTGTATAAATAGCCCCATCTTCCCCTCAGTCTTTGTCACAGCATCTGTTATGCTCCCTGTGGGTTGCCCTGTGATTGACCCGGTTCTTTCCATTTTAAGCTTATTGTTTGTTCACTTTTTGGATTTTGGTATTTTTGCCTTTTATCTGCCTCCCACGTTATGCATTTGTGTCCCCACTTGTGTCTTCAACATTCCTAAGAACAGGTACAAAAACTGACATGTATTTTTATCTAAAAGAACGTCCAGGAACTTTGTTTTACTGATTATTCAAATTTAAAGTGTGAAATGAGTAGAATAAGACATTACTGCTGTTTATCTATTTTAAAGTAAAGGTAATATTACCGAATCATGATTTAAAAGAAAAAGCAAGCAACATTAAACTAATGATTTTGTCCTTTCCTGTGAGCACTGCTTGAAGTTGATGTGCAAGATGTAAGGCATTTATATTTTCTGAAACAAATTACATGCTACTGCACTGTTGGGTGCACAACAGGAAAAGTCTCTTAATGGACTCATGACTAACAATCTACAGCATAATACAGTATAGCATAATATCAAATTGTTCAGTGAAATATGTATTATTAATGTGTAGCTCATCCCAGTCAACACAAACGAAAATACTATTTATTAATACTAGAATAAAGATTTAGATAAGTTATGGGGAAGTTATCCTCAAAAATTCCCTGTCAGACTTTAGAAGCTCACATACACTTGTCATCATCATTTACAGCAATATCATATAAGCCTTGACAGTGCCACCAGGGATAGAGTTCAGATCTGAAATGTGGAGGAAATACAGGTATTGAACTGCTTCTGGGAGGCGAAGAGGCAGATGTGAGTCATCAGCCTCAGCTCAGTGGCCAAGCTGCCTGCAGTTAAACCAGGATCACTTTGCCTCCATCAGCAGGATGTTAAGTGTCAGAACCCTGAGAGGTCTGCAAAGTGAGGCCTAAAAGAGAGGGTAGCAGTGCAGTTTAACAGTGCATGGTATGGGGTGAAATTTGTTGTTTTCTCCAGAAGTGTAGCTATCTGGAACCATCTGAGTCGAAATCAAAACCAGGCTGACATGTACTTGCTGTTTGTGAAATGTTGCTGTTGTTGGATTAACTTTATGCAGCAGAATATGGCAATGTATGCTCTAATGCATTAGTGTAACTACATAATTTAACTTTAATAATAATATTTCATTTTCTTGGGTACACATAGCTACAATATGAATTGACTAATTCACTTTTTACTTGTCTACTTTTAAAGCAACAAATATTACAGTTCTCCTAAGAGTACTAGGTTTGTTGCAAGTTAACTGAGAGCCATGCTAGGCTCAGGGAGACTCTGCTGACCGTCTGTCCCGCAGTCATGCAGGGACTTCATCAAGCTTGGTTGTCTGTTCTTTGTGTGTTTTGATTAAAGAATGTTAGCTACCACTCACCGCTCGTCTGCGGGCTTTATTTAAATGGAAAACTTCCACAACAGGCAAAAAAAAAAGCTTTTTGCTAAAAAAAAAAAAGATTTAGAGCAGAAGTTTTTGCACTGCATTTTAAAATGAAAACATATTGCATTTATTTACAATTAAAGACACAGAGCAGAAAGTGTGTTACTGTTTTACATCCACAGACACACAAGAAAAGAAGCAGGCAACATGAGGTCAGTTTATGCCAATTTTATTTGTGTATTTCAGTACATGTATTTAGATTAGAGTTTTTAAAAAACAAACAAACGTCCCAAGAAGAAGGATGGGGTGAAAGAAAGGTGGAGAGAGGGGGAAGAAACTATTGATCTCCTCAAACTCGATGCTGCTGGGTCAGTTCTTTCTCAGCAGTCTGCTCCAGAATCCCCTCCTGTCCTCGGCTTTCTTTTCTTTTGCCTTCAGTTCTTTTAAGGTTTTGTTGAGCTGCTCCTCGGCATCTTTAAAATGTTCTTTCAGCTGCTGTTTGGCCAGTTTCACTTTCTGTTTGAGGAGCTCTTTAGCTTCCTTTTTGTGCTTTCGTATTTCTTTAAGTGCGTCTTTGCAGTCTTTCTTGTTCACCGCAGAGCCGGTCATTTCTTTCTTGAATACCTTCACGTCAATTCTCTCTTCTGCAAGTTCTTCTTGCACTTTCATCAGTTCCTTCTTCATGTTTTGAGTGTAACTCTTTGTATCTTCCATTTCTTTCTTTGCTTCCTGTATTTTAATTTTCTCTTCCTCCAACACTTTTTGAGCTTCCAACAATTCTTTCTTCATATTTTCAATCTCATTTTCTGCCTCATGTTTACGTTTTTTCTCCTCTTGAAGTTGTTGCTTCACATGCAGTAATTCCTTCCTTAGTTTTTCAGCTTCAGCCATTCCATTTGCAGCTTCTTGTGTTGCCAACTGCATTTTCCTTTTTTCCTCTTCAAAAGCTTCCTGCACCTCCTGTAATTCCTGTATCACATTTCCTGCCTCCTTCTTTGCAGTTTGATATTTATTTTTGGCTTCTTGTGCTGTGCTTTTCTCTTCCTCCAATGCTTTTTGAGCTTCCAACAGTTCTTTCTTCATGTTTTCATTCTCGTTTTCTGCCTGTTGTTTTCCCATTTTCTCTCCTTTAAGTTTGAGACCCACATGCAGTAATTCCTGCAATACTACTTCAGTTTCAAACTTTGAATTTTTAGCTTCTCCTCTTGATTTCTCTGCCTCTTCTTTTAATTTGACATTTTCAGCCTGTATCATTTGAAATTCTTCTTGCAGGTTAATCAGCTGTGCTGTATTGTATGGTGAGGCACTCGCCGATCCTCTTCTCGTTCTTCCTTGATTCATTTTGGCCTTTTAAACAAAGGAACCAACGTATTGTAGAGGAGTGAAGTGAAGTTTTTGATGTTTTCTTTGTCAACTGTCGTTTGTCCTGCACAGAGATGCTGCTGTAGATGTGTCTCTAGCTGTGTCTGGATACAATGAAAAATGCTATAACTAAGTGCTTGTGTTGCACAGTTCTACTGAACATTCCATTTCATGCATGCTCCGCCCACATGGTCAGGAATGTCAGGTGCTGCATCACCAAATGCTGCTCCCGTTGCCTAGCAATAACAGCTGTTTACTTTTTGGGGTCTGGTTCATTATTTAATAAAGAAAACATGTCCAAGTATTGGGTGCTGAGGCTCAGCTCAGTCAAAGAAAGCTAGACAACGAGTCACACTCATATTTGGCCCTACAGAAAATTTAGATTCAACATGTGGTGGAGAGGATTGTGGATGTGCAGCTGATAAATATGCAGCAACTATGTGATGCTATCATGTCAATATGGACCAAAATCTCTCAGGAAGTTTTTCAGCACCTTATTGAATCTGTATCATGAAGAATTAAAGAAGGTAAAAGGAGGTCCAACCTGGCTGATGACAGTAGAACTAGATACACGTCAAGGTAACATCCACATGAATGCCAAGCCTCAAGGTTTGTAATGAGAGCATCAATGTTAGATCTGTGATTAGTTTTAGTATGATCCCAAAACTGTGTATGCAGTGTGTACTTATATATATATGTATATAGACACACATATTTTGAGCTTGTTAAAAATTAGATTCCTAAAGCAGAAATGTTTTGCTTACCTCTCCTCTTCACAACACACCCCACTTACCAACCACTTTCTCATCAAAGTACAAAACAAAACTGCACGGATCGACTCTACTTACAGAAGTCAAGGGGAGTCTGTATTTCAAAGAGGAAGTACTTTGTAGCTGAGGCGATTACAAACAAGCTTTCTCCCACTGAAGATCTGCCAACAGGTTCTGCCACAGTCAGCAGTTTCAGTTTTCTTCAGAGTTCCTACTAAAGCAATGCAACACTTTAGTGTGATTTACCTTATTAAGGTAATCACCAAAGTTTGGCTGCTTGTCTCAGGGGGAAAGGAGACGGGAAAAAAAGACAAAACATTTGCCAAATATTTATTCTCTGTAATCAAGGAGACATCACTTCAAGGAGTTAGTCACATTTAAAAGTGGGGAAGCAAGTCTTCAGAGTGCAGGTGGGTAGAGAAGAAACATTGTCTTCTACTGCCTCAAGCAATGGAATAAAGCAAAACAGTAGGGGAGGATTAGTAATTCACTGTGGTGGATTGCTGGAGTGTTTCTGTTCAACGGCCAACTGCAGGTCAAATTTTTTCTTCTTTGGCCCTCCTTGTATGTTGTACAGAGAAGTTATTTGTGATGAACCTCACTTCTAGTGTATGTCAGTGTTACATACCTGTGGAAATGAACAAAAGTAGAACAGTAAAACATGTAAAATCCTAGCAGAGCATCTCAAAGGAGGAGACAGCATTTGGTTATGTCCATGGGTTCTAAACTTTAGGCTGTCATTGACTACAGGGGCTTTTCATTCAAGTATTAAAAGCAATCTATATTTAAAATTATGTTAGCTTGTCCAATTATTTTGAACCTCTGAAAATCTGCAGAGGACTGTGTATAAAAGTTCTGTAATCCCTAAACACTTAATACTTTTGTTAAACCCCTTGAGTTAAAGCTGTGAGTCTGTACTTCAATCACAACTTGATTCCTTTGATTTAAAATCCACCGTGATGGTGTATACAAGCAAAATTACAAAAAAAGTGGTATTGACCAGATATCTCTACATCTACCTGTACCTCTCAGTTTTAATCAGCTGTAATATTTCTTATATGATAATAATGACTGCTCTTAAAAAACTGGACTCCTTCCTGACTCCCTTTGGGGTAATGTGTGGTTTTCCAGAGATGGTTTTGTAATGCAATCTGCTGACAATTGTGACACCACGGGTATATGGTGATTATTAATTCATAGGTTGGTTCAAGCCATACTTTTTTCCCTGTGATGTGATGGTGGTCTGTGCAGATGCATATGTGTTTTTAAATTATTTTTCATTCTGCAGTCATTTGAAAATGTATATATATATATATATATATGATATGGAAAGTAAAGCAGAGAAATATTCTGCTCCCTGCTCTTTCAATTTTATCACTTTTATCCGAACAAGCTGAAAATGAATGATGTGTTTGCAGTTGCCACGCTCCAAAAATAGTCATGCAAATGAGGAATAGTCTCAGGATTCAGCAGCGCTTTTGTGCAATTTACATATTGCTAAGAGTTCACAGCAACTTGTAGGTGGATATCAAGGACATGAAAACCCATGTAGTTAAGTTGAGATTGATTATCTCGGTACACTGACTTATCAGCAGCTTGCAGACGGCCTGTATTTTGGTCCATCATGATAAAACACATTTCTGATTTTGTTTTAATATGCCAACAGGGTCAGATGACTGCTGCTTCTACAGATGGAAAGATGGAAGTTGTTTTTGGTTTGTGTTTAAATGCATGCAAATTGAATGTCCTCTTGTACCATCTGAATTAAGACAAGCAAAAGGATAAAGCAGGCTAACCTCCCATCTTAAAAAAAACAAAAAACAGAGGCTATTGGAGGTTGAAAACATTGATCACTGTTAGGTAGCCTAATTGTGGAGGATAATAAAGAATTGATTAATGCGGTCAGGGGAGAAAACAAATCAACTGCAAACCAGCTATCTGTACAAGTGTGCTAAAGTAGCCACATACAAAAAAACAGACAAAAACATAGAACAGTAAATAGATTTCAATATGTTATTAAGCTTATGTTCAATAATGTAGTAATAGACAAAGATTATTTCTACAGCACTTGTATATTTCCATTATTAAAATTATGTATAACATACTTGATGGAGGTAAAGGAAAGACTGTGCTTAGAGGAAAGTAAGCAAGCTCATTTTTGGTTTGTAGGATAAACTCTTAGAAATTCCAGTTTTGCTTCAGTAAAACATCCTGCTTCTGCTTTCTTGCCATATCAGCAACATGTACTTTGCTTTCAATGATTACTGAGAGTGAACAACAGTTTTCCACACCTTGAGGTGCATAAGCTGTATGCTGATCTTCTTGAAATGCAATTACTTTCCATTATAAGTTAATAAAGCCACGTTATCTGCAATGTGTAAGGCCTCAGTCTCACAGGTATAGAGACCAGTCAGCAGCCTTGGCCCAATCTCTGGTTGCCTGGAAAAAAAAAATTCTCCCACCATTTGCAAAGTTGTTGCTAGTTGAAATTCATTTAAAAAAAAAAGGATGCTAAACCAAAAACCTCCCTGCAATTTCTTTACCAGATTTTCACAGTCGCCTATATTTAGCATGGAAGATGATGACTTGCCTGCAAAGAGTCGCCATTTTACTGGAGTAAAAATGGAAAAAGTGTGACAGAAACAGGAAATGGAAACTTAATCTTTGAAAAATTGTATCTTACACTGCAATCCAGACATTTCATAAGGTATAACTTTTACTTTGAAGACAAATTTTCTGTTTGAGGGTTCATTACCACTTGGTAAGTAGTTTATATCTTTCGTGCAAACTACTTTGCAACCAGCTTTGCCATTAACTTTAATTTGATGTGAGGCCAAATGCTCATAAAAATGTAAAAATCCATTTCATAAAGTTTTCGGTACGAAGGTCATTTGTGCCAGCTTTGCAAAAGACTAGAAAATGTATGCCCTGTGAAAAAAAACGTAATTGGGCAGAAAATCCAAGATGAACGTGACGTGGTGGTTTGAACTCAGCTCAGTCCAATAAATACAAAATTATTAAGTTATGGACACACAACTGGTTTTACCATGTAGATCGAATATTCAGGCTACAAAAGTGAAACCTGCTGAAAAGAATCAGAGGACTGCAAATTTGAAATCTGTTGGAGGGTCTGCAGTAGCTAGATGACAGATGAAGAGAGAGGATTGATTGATTGATTTGATTGATTGAATCTTTATTTTGAACATGTTGAAAAAGTACAACAAAATAGAATTAACATTAACAGAATTAAGGATGATGACAACAGCACCCTAAGGTCAACTTGTAGAACAATTATCAGTCCTAATCTACTGAATGCGGCTCCCTGTAGAGGATCTATAAATATTTCATAGCATGCCAGCGAAAGACTGCATGTTGTAGAGCATTAAGGGTCACTGAAAGTGAGATTGGAAGAGAAAGCCCTTCATGTAGAGAGATGTTTATTAGAGATAGAGAGGTGCAGAAGAATAAAATCTGAGTGTAAATTCAAATCCCTAGAAGCATGATGCTTCGCAAATTTAGCAGAGAATGTGAGCAAATGCAGCCTCTGGGAACTTCAGGGTCAGGTCACACCTGAGACCACACACATTTGTTCAGTAAATATATATTTTATTTATGTAATGTAGTGTAGTAGTGTAACAGTTGAAACACATATTTATGGACTCTCTTTCCATTAATTGTAATAAATAATACAACACATTTAAATATTTCAGAAAATCTGGCCTGCTTTATAACAGATGTGTTATCATCATTTGTTAAACCATTTCAAAGTGGGGGTTATTGTGTGTGCTGGTGCTAATGCAATGCTAAAAAATTTGTAGCTTCGAGGCAAAGCTACAGAAAGCAATTTTTACCCTTTATTTGCTTTGTGTTCAGTCAGGCCTTTAAATATAGATAAGCAAATATTACTCATGCTCAAGTATACTGTTTACTTAAAAACGAAGTGGTGGATACTTGAACAGACGAGTGCAGCTATAAAGCATGATTAGGAGATGATAGTGAAATACAGACTCACTCCCATTATCCTAAAAACAAAGCATGCTGGTGCAGATGCGCGGGAGCATAAACACAAATGCACACACACGTGTACACATAACGTTTCCTTGATGAACATTTCTACAATACTGGCTGCCAGTGGTTTGATCCTTTCATGTCAGAAGTCAGTAAGAGACCTTGTCTTTTGCTTGGAATTATTTAACAACACACATAAAGAGAGCATTCGAGTCCAAGTAAGGACACATCATTAATTCATAATATACACAAATATTTTCAGAATCAGTTGCACAAACTGACACCCCCACACACATACACAAAGCACTCACACACAAACACACAGAGCCTCTGGCACCCTGTGACTCATTTCTGAACTTCTGCCCACTTTCAACCTCCTGCTTTGTGATTTTAGCCCAATGTCTCAATACAGTTTGCTAAGAGCATTTTTCACACAACCTCAGTACCACATTTGCTTGACAGTAGGCCCCACAGGCCTTTCCCGTTAGCTGCATATTAACCTTAATTAATGTGCCACAGTACTTTACCTGC